GCCGTACACACAACTTGGGTTTCCTCCAATTCAGTTCAACCCTGGTATTATGTGCCTGGAGATAGTGTCCAATCCCATAAGTTGAGGGCTCCATCCCACCACAAGACTGTTTCCCACATTGGATATTAGTCACAAGTAGCTGGTCGTCACCTATACTTCTGACCAGCTGGCTACAAATTGGGGGTTCTCATCCTTGGGTTAAATTAATTTGCTAGAGTGGCTCAGAGAACTCTGGGAAATCCTTCACTTACATTTATGGAGACAGTGGGGACCTAATCCTAGCTCTGCCACTTGCCAGACTAGCCAAGTTTCTTAACTTCTCTGAGTCTCATCATAGCAAACTGGAAATAGTAATGACCTCTCTCATAGATTGCTATAAGAAATAAATGAGATAAACTACATCCATGTCTCATGCAGAAAAACAAACTTATAAACAAACATAATTTTTGTTTTAATTCATTAATTAAATACCTGGCAAGGAAGATTTTAAAAACAATAGCAGCAACAATAACAACTAAGGAGTTAGCAGGTGACAGGGATGGTTAAGGCGCTGGACTCCCACATGGCCAACCACAGTTCGAGTCCCAAACCTGGCAGCTTCAAAAATCACACTGGACGTGTGTGCATGTGTTACCAGAACTCCAGGAGAAGAGTGGAGAACGGATTGAGGTGTGACCATCCTCCCTGGAGGGTGATTTCTCACTTTCCCTCTCATTGTCTCTCTCTGCATTCACTCTGTGACAAAAACCTTTTAAAAATATTTTTTAAAACCAATTTGAGGAATATTTGAGAATATAGTCTCAGGTAAGATTTGAAGCTACATAGAACTCTCATCTTTTATCAGGGTGATTCAAAACCATAGCGCTTTTGGATTTAACATCTCAACCAGGCTATATAATCATAGTACTCTATGCAGCAGATACATCTGTTATGAATTGCTAATCAGACTTTCTTTGCCAACCACTTTTTCGCAAAAGTGTCAGATGATGACAAGAAGCAAGGACCTACTTTTGTTCATATAGACTTTGGCATGAGATTAAAAGTAAAATCAACCATCACTTTTGTCTTTGTCCAGGTTTAAGATGGTATCTTTTTCCTATCACACTGACACACAGATGGAGCCCTGGTTTCCTCCTCTCTTCAGCCCATTTGAACTTAAACCAAATTCTCCTGAGAGGCTAGAAGATCGACTAGAATCTGGACCCAACCAAAATGGCTCTGGTTCCCAAGGGGAGGGATGAGCAAGGCTGTCTTTTCCATTAGGATTAGCTCTTTTTCTCAGCTGCTGGAGAACAGTTGCCCAATTCCAAATCTTCCCCATGCCCTTTGGGATGTTTGTCACAACCACTAGGAACTCAACTGAAATCAGGAGCCTTGGGTGGAGAATCGAATGAAGAAGCAAAATTTCAGACAGGTCATTCTATAGGCCCCAGAAATCTCAGTGGCTGGGTTCGCCCCAATTGGTGAGTCAAGGTCTCCTTTGTGGGCTTAAACGTTGCATGAGGTTTCCTGCTAAACTACTTATTTCTCAACTTCCCACTTCCTTGTTCTTCTTTTGTAGCTGAAGAAACAGGAAACCAAATCACCTTGCTCTGGGTCGCAAGCCTGGACACTGCCCAGCGGTTCCTGTAATGGGCATAGCCTTGTTTAAAGGTTATAATCTCCAAGCCTGCTTCCTCCATGAAGCTTCAAGGATTGCCTCCTTTATCTCCTCCTCTTTCTCCAGGATGTCAGCTGGTCCACCTCTCCTGCCCAACTATGAACTCAGGAATCAGCTGTTGACAGCTCTGTGTTAATTCAGTTCTTCACAACTCCTGCCCCATCATGTAATGGCAAAACCCTGCAGGGCACTCCGGACCACCTTCCCACAGCTCCTCGCAGTAGGTTTAGAAAAAGCAGGCACATAGGATTTTCAACTAAAGGCAAATAGAATCAATGACAGTGAATGTCCCTCAAAAGAATCCATTAACAGCAAGTCCAACAGTGGATTTTTAAGGATAATCAAAGGCACTGGGACATATTGCCCCAAACCCACCCCTGACACACACACTCACACATCTATATGCCACCCTCACCACCCTCACCCGTGCAGATAACTGAGAGGCCGAACCGGAGTGCTCTCTCCTTTTGGATATTCCAGTTATTCTCTTTTCCTCCATTGTATCTCCTACTTAAAAAAAATATATAGGGCACGTGTACTCACAGGAGAAAAAGAGAGAAAAAGTGAGAAATTACCCCCCCAGGGGCATGGTCACACTGCAATCCCTTCTTCTCCATTCTCCTTTGGAATTTGGGGCATGCATGCACACACACACACACACACACACACACACACACACACACACACAGCATGAATTTCAAGTCACCAGGTTCAGGACTCAAACCATGGTCAGCTGTGTGGGAGTCTAGCACCTTAACCACTATGCTACCTGCTCTCTCTTGTATCTCCAAATGTTGAGTGAGGACAGGGGCGAGGTTTGGTGAACCCTAACACTTTTTCCCATGTTTTTCTGGGTTCAGTCATATTTGGGCTACTTGCTCCCGTTTAGTCTACGTGTTGGAGGAAATTCTAGCAAGATCACTGTGGTACCTCTCAGAACTGCAAAATCCCCTTTTCTGCCATACAGAGAGTGAGTTCCATGCTCCTGATTTGGGTGGAAGCACTGGCTTTGAGAGCGGAGTAAAGATATCCTTCAGCAAAGCTGAGAAAGCAGCACTTTTTATTTAATTAGAGAGGAAGTGAGTGCTTGCCAGAGACAGAGAGAGAGGAGAGGAGAGAAAGAGGGCAAAAGCATCCCACAATGGGACACGGTCATACCACAATCCCATCTCCTCCAAACGCCATCCTGTCAGGATTTGGGGCATTCGTGTACACATGCCCAACATGTTTTTCAAACCACCAGTGTCAGGGTTTGAACCGTGATTGGCCAGGTGGGATCTGGCTCCCTTAACCACCAGTCCACAGAGCCAGTCAGAAAAGGCAGCTCTTTAATCCTTGGACCTTTCTACTTGCCCCAGCAAGACTCCATTTCCATATTCTGATTCTGAAATTCCCCATCTCAGTTTAGGTCCCATCTTAATTCTCAGCCGACTGACAATGATTTTTCCTAATATGTTAGCTGATAATAAAACTGGCGGGCAATTAAGGCATCGGTGAACAAGAACGCAAGCTGCTATCTTTCCCAGCTCATTTGCATTTCGATATGATTAAAATCTACTACAAACAAAAAGCCCAGTGATCTTTAGTAATCTTCATTGGAAGTCAGTTAATCTAAGGATAGTAAGGGGTTTGCTCCTCCTGAAATTCTGGGCAACTGACCACCTCCTCTTGGGCATGAGACACCTATGGCTTCTCCAAAGAATACCTTGCCCACCCCACCCAACTCCACTCCTCTCTCCAGCCTAGGCTATAGGGTGTGAGATACAATAATAATCCCGGAGAGGGTTAAAGGGGCCCTCCTCTGTTATGCAGTGGCTCAGTCCCTTGTGCAATGCAGAGAGACTCCAAACCAACCTTTGTTTCCCAGGGTACAGTGCACCCCAACTTCACAGATTAGAAGAGTTGCAAAGGAATGCGAGTAGCACATGTTCCCATAGTCCAACCACTCACCCAAAACAACAATAGAACACCTCCACCTCTCATCACTAAAAACCAGCATATAGGACAAGTGTTCTTGACTCTTCTGAGGTCTTTAGGCTATTTTGAGACTCTGATGAAAGCCGTGAAGGACTGTTCTTATATGCCTACACTCAAAATGATGTAGTCAAACTTTAATTCAATTTCAAAGATACATAGACAGATCAAGTTAAAACCCTGGCTTAGTGGTTCTTGTAACAGCTCTCTACTCCCTTCACATCACTAGCATCGTTGTCATAGCAACCTAAGTGAACAACAGAAAATCTCCCACACCACAGTGTGGAAAACCAGTTTAGGGCCAGGTTCTAGTCAAAGATGTCTCTTCATCTTTTAACTTTCCCATTTTGCCAGACCCTTGGAGAAATCCACCAATATATTGACTGAGAAGTTATTTTAAATAATTCACTGATCACCACAGGGCAGCATTTGAGTTACCTATTTTTTAAGTTGAGTTTTATTAATGTATTAGCTTATCTGCCTCTTCCTTTATTATTTAATCAAGTTGGGAGGTTGGGAGTGAGGAGCTTCCAAAATCCCTAAGGATAGACTGTAGATGTGGGGCCAAAGGGTTATCCTAGTATTACTTAATATAGGATTTTTTTTTTCCCTAGAGGACATGTACCTGCCAGAAAGAAACAGATAGAGAGAGAAAAAGAGAGGAGAAAGCACCTGCTCCCCATGGAGAATTGTCATGCAGCCATTCCATCTCCTCCATCTCTTCATCCTTTCAGTATTTTGGACATGCATGCACACATGCCTGGTGTGTTTCTTAAGCCATCAGGTCCAAGTTTGCACCATAGGGCTAGAGATGTGAGATCTGACTGCCTTAACCACCAGGCCATAGAGCCAGCCCTCTTAATGTAGGACTTTAAAAGTCATCTACCACACACAAAGTCAGTCTCTCTTTCTCTCTCTCTCTCTCTCTCTCTCTCTCTCTCTCCCCCTTTCTCTCTCTCTCTCCTCTCTCTCTCTCTCCCCTGCCACCTCTCACATACACACACACATACACATTCCAATGTAGCTATCTCCCCAGTTTCCCAAGAGCTACATCTAAGACATTTAGCTGGAAAATAAAATTTAGCTTAGAGAACAACCAGTTTTCATTACATAACCCATTTGGGAACAAGTAGCAAACTCTTCAGCTACAGTGATATGGATGCTCAGAGTTCCTAGAAGGAATGACGCTGGACCTGGGACTGGGAGATATTCGAGCACAGTTTGGGAAGAGGATGGAGAGGGGACCAGATGGCTTGTGAGAGTTAGGTGTGGGACAACAGGCTTCTTTCTCTTCTTTTGGGTTTCCCAACCCTCTCTCCACCCACAGAACCCTCATCCCACAAGAGAAGAGCAAGAGACACAGAGCCACCTGAGGTATCGATTACTTTATTTACTGCAGACACATGTCCAGGGACCAAGCTTCAGGGCCCAGTAGCTTTGCTACTCTTTGTGGCTCTCTTCGTGGCCTGCCACACCCATCTTCACTACCAATATGAGGAACTCTTCAAAGTTAACTCCGCCATCCTTATTGATATCTAGTTCTTTGAACCAGGTGTCTGCATCTTTATTCTGTCAAAATTGAGAAAGAAAAAGCCAGAGTGTAAAGCTATCAGAGAGTACTGAGGCGGGGTTATCCACAGGGAGCAGCCTGGCAGACCAGTGACCAAGGCAGAGGACTCAGACCATACCCATCCCCTCCTCACCTTCACATACTGAGGGCACTCAACATCCAACAGTTTCTTCAGATCATCCCTGTAGACAGCATGGTGACTCCCTTTCTCCAAGGAGTATTTGTGGAAGACATCAATGACTGTGTTTAAGGCACACTCCAGCTCAGTCGGCATGATGCCAAGAATTTGTTCCACCTGAAAGAGGGAGCCATGTGGGGAATCTCATGGTGGGGATGGATCACCTGTCTAGAGGGACACTTAGAAAGTTCACATCCCAGTGGTTTGTCCTAGCCTTCATCATCCAAATGACTTATCCCAGCAGATGGTCACAGCTCTGATGAGAAGGGGTGAGCCGATATGAAGACAGGAGTAAGAGAAGGTAGAGCCTCTCTCAACACACACACACGGAGCCTGCCAACTCTCCCTATGTCTCCTCTTGCCCAGCTTAGGAAACCAATGTGCCCTCACTCACTGGAAAGTGCTAGAGGACTTAACTCCTTCCCTATCCCTATCCCACCTTCCTCTTCCAGGAATCCCAGATCCTTTCCCAACTCTCCCAAAATTTTCTTCCTTCTCTCTCAGGGAAGGCTGCTCCACCTTGCATCACCCTCCCAAACTCTCCCAACTTTTCCAAGAGAAGCGCACAGTGTGGAGCAGACCTAGACAGTCCAACTTACCAGTCTCCAGAAGCGGAATTGACAAAGGATATGTGGAGCTGAGTGTCAGCTCCCTTTTATAGCAGGTAGGCTTGGCTAGCTGCCCATGGCCTCAGGCAATTCAGAGACAGCTGCTCCCTTCCAGAGTTGCCACAACCTCAGGTTTCCCAACCAAGCAAGTGTAGCAATCACCGTGCAGAATGAAGACTTCTGATGGGTGGGCAAGTGGGGAACTTGAAGGAGGAAGGCATTTGTTGGGCAGTAGTGTCCAGTGGGGAGAGCAGAAAGAGGCCGTGGTGAGCCAGACTCCCACTCTGAGTTGCTGTTGCTAATCCTGTGTAGTGTGAGCTGCCTACACAGCCCTGGAGCGGAATTGAAGTTCAGTGCATCATTTTGAGTGTAAGCATTTAAGAACATGCCTTTCTAACATTCATCAGATTCTCAAAATAGTCTGAGGACCTCCGAAAGGCAAAGAACACTTGTCCTAGCTGCTGGTTTTGGCAATGAAAGGTGGAATGTTTCTACCACCATTGTTTTGATTAAGTAGTTGGACTCTGTGGGGACGTTTGTTGCCCAGAGCCCTTCACAGGTTTTTCCTGCTCTGTGATGTTGGGGTGTACTTGCCCTGGGAGACAAAGGCTGACTTGGGGTCCCACTGCATTGCACAAGGTGCTGATCCACTGCATGAACACAGCAGGGACCTTTCAACTCTCTCTGGGATAATTATTGTGTCTCAAACTCCAGGACCTTAGGCAGAATAGAGGAATACAACTCTAGAGAGAAGGTAGAATCCTTTGGAAAAGTAAGACATGCTTCATGCCCAAGAGGAGAAGAGTAGGTGGCCTGTTCCCCAGGATTTCAGGAGGAGCAAACCCCTTCCCCCTATTAACAAATGCTTTTCAGAATAACTGGCTTCCAATCTACGGCTGATGGCATATTTCTCATGTTACAAAGCACTTCACATTCATATTCTCTCATAGGAGCCTTCGAATTAAGAAGGCAGAGTGCAGAATCTGCCCAGATGAGGAAGCTGAGGCCCAGAAAGGTGAAGCAATTCAGTCAGAATTTCCTAGCACAGGTGTGTCAGAGCCCAGACCAAATCTGAGAGCACTGGGCAACAGGACATGATTTGACTCTGCTGGGGAAACCCCTCTCCTCTTTCCTTCCTTCATACAGTCAGCAACATTCACCGTATACTTCTCAGGGCCTAAGTCATCAGTACCTCCTTGGAGAAGTAGATGGGATCAGTATTTCTCTTTCAGGTTTCTGTAGTTTTGTTTTGGGAGTCTTGTTATGCTCTCATTATAGCTGTGGGACCTTGGGCCAACTATTTACCCTCTCTGTGCTTGAGTTACATCTTTTCATTTTTTTCTTTAAAAAAGAAAAAATGCACTTGCCAGAAAGGAAAGGAGACTGTGGGACCAGCAGTTGGCATAATGGCTATGTTGCTGGACTCCCATGTAGTCGACCACAGTTCAAGTCCCGGACCTGGTGGTTTAAACTCGCGTGGGCGCGTGTGCTTGGGTGCCCAAGATCCCAAGAGGAGAATGGAGGAGAAGGGATTGTGGCATGGCCATCCCCCCTGGGGGGTGATTTCTCGCTTTCTGTCTTTCTATCTCTCTGTCTGTCTCTGTCTTTTTGGAGAGCACGTGCACCCTATAGGAAAAAAAAAAGAAAGAAAGAAAGAAAGAAAGGAAGGAAGGAAGGAAGGAAGGAAGGGAGAAAGAAAGAAAGAAAGAAAGAAAGAAAGAAAGAAAGAAAGAAAGAAAGAAAGAAAGAAAGAAAGAGAAAGAAAGAAAGAAAGAAAGAAAGAAAAGACAGAAAGAAAAGAAAGAAAAAGAAAATGAAAAGAGGAATATGAGAAATACCCACCAAGTAGGCATGGTGGTACCCACCCTATGGCATAAAAACTACTGGAGGCTGGAGGATTGCGGCATCAAGAAAGCACCCACCAGGAGGGGTGTCATGCCACAATCCCTTGTCCTTCATATTTTGGGCATGTATGCGCACACACGCAGCATGATTTTCAAGTCACTGGGCCCTAGACTCAAAGCACACGGTCAGCCATGCACACACACAACCAACAGCCTTAACTTCCACACCACCTACTAGCCCAGTTATATCCATTTAATAATTAAATTTTCAAAAATTAATTATTTAAATTTAATTATTTAAACAGAAATTAAGAACAGAATCTGGGCCAACAGGTGGCATGGAGATCAAGGTGGCTAGATCCTACATGGTCGACTGAGTAATTTGAATCCAAGACCCAGTAGCTTGAAAAACACACCATGAGAGACCAGCAGATGGCTTAATGATTACATCGCTAGAGTCTCACATGGCCAACCTTGGTTCAAATCCTGGACATGACAACTTGAAACTTACATCAGGCACATGTGCATGATGCCCAAACTCCCAAGAAAGGAATGGAGGAGAAGGGATTGCAACATCACCATACCCTCCGGGGGGGGGCAGGGGAGAGAGATTTCTCACTTTCTGTCTTTCCGTCTCTGTCTGTCTCTCCGGAAAGTGCACACACCCTATAGCAAAAATCTCTCTTAAAAAAAAAATAATAATAAAGAGAAGAGAAAAACACACCATGTGTATGTGTGTGTACTTGCCCAAAATCCTGAGAGGAAAAGAGAAGGGATTGTAGCATGGCCATCATCCCTGGGGTGACTGACTTCTCACTTTCCCTCTATATATATCTCCCTCTCCATCTCTCTCCAGAGAGTGTACGTGCCCTATAGTAAACTAAAAATAAACAAAAATAGAATCTACATTCATTCTGTGAAATGGGAGAAAACATTTATAAATCACATATCTGATAAGGGGTTAATATCTAGAATATAAAATAACTCTTATTATGCAACAAATAAAAAACCTAGTCCAAAAAAAAAAAAAATGGGCAAGAGACTTAGACATTACTCCAAAGAAGATATATAAATGGCCAATAAGCACATGAAAAGGTGTTCAACATCATTCACCACTAGGGAAATGCAAACCCAAACCACAATAAGATGTCATCCCATATACATTAGGATGACTTCTACAAAAAATAAAATAAAATAAAATTTTAAAAACAGAAAATTACGAGTGTTAACAAGAACATGGAGAAATTGGAAGCCTTGTGTCCTGTGGGTAGGAACGTAAAATGGTATTGCTACTATGAAAAAGAGTATGATTTTTCCTCAGAAGAGAAACAGACTGACCCAGCTGATTCGCAATGTGTATTTTACCACAATGAAAAACTTCTTTAAATTTTTTTTTTCTTTTTCAGAGAGATTTTTACTATAGGGTGCATGTTCTCATCAAAGAGACAGAAAGACAGAAAGCAAGAAATCACCTCCAGGGGTGGATGGCCACACTGCAATCCCTTCTCTTCCATTCTCCTCTTGGGATTTGTACACACACACACACACACACACACACACACACACACCCCTAGCATGAGTTTTAAGCCACCAGGTAGAACCATGGTCGACTACGTGGGAGTTCAGCGACATAGTCCTTACGCCATCTGCTGGTCCCTTCTTAACGTTTTTAATTTAAGTGGCACACACTGCCAAGACAGTGCTCTGCAAGTTGGGATCACCTGGGAAGCTCAGAATCAATTCCCAGGCCGATCTAAAGGTCAGCTCAGTGGCGTTTGCCTGTAATCCCAGCAACTCAGGGAGGCTGAGGCGAGGCAGGATCGTGAGCTAGAAGCTGGCCTGGACAACAAAGAGAGACTGTCTAGAAAAGAGCTGGGCATGGTAGCACATGCATGAAGTCCCAGCTAGAAGGCTGAGGCAGGAGGATAGTGACTGTGAGACTCTGTCAACTAACTAACTGAATGATTAATTAAAATAAGTAAATAACTATCATATGATCCACCAATTACACTTCTGGGTATATACTCATAAGATCTGAAAGCTGGATTTCAAAGAAATATTTGCATATCCATGTATGTAGCATTACTATTCACTATAAAAGGTGACGGCAACTCAAGTGTCCATCAGCGGAGGAACAGACAGGTAACGTGGTATGTACTTACAATAGAACATTTTTCCACCTTAAAGGGGGAAGGAAATATATATATATTTTATAGAGGTTTTTGCTATAGGGCGTGTGCGCTTGCCAGAAAGACAGAGAGAGATAGACAGAAAGTGAGAAATCAACCCCCAGGGGGGATGACCACGCTGCAATCCTTTCTTCTCCCTTCTCCTCTCGGGGTCTTGGGCACGCACGTACGCATGCCCAGTGCGAGTTTAAAGCCACTGGGTCCAGGACTCGAACCATGGTCAACTACATGGGAGTCCAGCGACATAGCCATTATGGCAACTACTGGTCCCAAAGGGGAAAGGAAATTGTGACCCATGTTACAACATGGATGAACCTGAAGGACATTACACTATATGAAATAGATGAATCACGAAAAGACAAAAACAGTGATTCCACTTGCATAAGGTACCTAGAGCAGTCAAATTTATAGACAGAATGTAGAATGGTGGGTGCTAGGAGCTGTGGGGAAAGGAAAATGAGTTAATTTAATGGATACAGAGTTTCAGTTCTGAAAGACGAAAAGAACCCTGGAGATTGGTTGCTTAAGGACGTGAATGCACCCACCACCGACCACCGCTGAACTGTGCACCGAGAAATGGTTACAGTGATGAAGTTTATATTATGTGTATTTTACCACAGTAAAAAAAACTTCTTAAATTTTTAAATGCTCCCACTTAAAGGAAAAAGAATCCACTTCATAGGGTTGTCCTGAGGGTAATAACAATTGCAAAATATTTATAACTTATGGAATTTTCTTAATGTGTGTTATATGTTAATAAAAAGTTTACAGGACCAGCAGTTAGCATAATGGCTATGTCACTGGACTCCCACATAGTCAACCGCGATTCGAGTCCCAGACCCGGTGGCTTAAACTCACGCCAGGCACGTGTGCGTGCGTGCCCAAGATCCCGAGAGGAGAATGGAGGAGAAGGGATTGCGGCGTGACCATCCCCCCTGGGGGGTGATTTCTCGCTTTCTGTCTCTCTGTCTGTCTGTCTGGCGAGCACATGCGCCCTATAGCCAAAACCTCTCCAAAAAAAAATAAAATAAAAAACAAATTAAAAGTTTATATGAGGACCAGTAGGTGGCGTAGTGGTTAAGGGTGTTGGACTCCCACATAGCGAACAGA